GGAGTGGGTTGCCATTTCCTTCTCCAGTGGACCACATTTTGTCAGAACTCTCTGTCATGACCTGTCCGTCTTGGGAGGCCCTGCACGGTATAGCTCATGGCTTCACTGAGTTACGCAAGCCCCTTCGCCACGACAAGGCAGTGATCCATGAAGGAGAAAGTATTAACATATAATACTATTTTTCTCCTTCTCTAGCCACATCTAAAATAATTTACTACTTATTCCTTCTCCCTAAAGAATCCAGAGAATTACTTGTATGTCTGGTAGATAGAGATGTTAAAATTCTTAATACCTGAACTAAACTAATATTGAAGAAGAATAATGAAAAAATAGAGTTTTCTAACATGACATCACTAAATATGCCTCCAGTCACTTCTCTTGATGCCCTGAGGAATCATTGCCAAAACTTGATGTTTTATGACTGGCCACGTGACCACAGGGACTATTTTGTCAGCGGATGAGCCTGTCCTGTGGCTGCTGCAGTTTCATTTCCTTTTTAGAGTTATATGCCACTGAGGTTCAGACACATGGTATGCTCAAACATGTTTTTAAAATTCTAAATGTGCCTAATTTAAGGACCCCTGATTTGTACTGTAAATGTAGAAAACCTGTGGGAAAGTTCTTTGCTAGAAAATTAGCAAAAGTATTGCTAAATTAGGCTGGTTTCACAAACCAAACAGAATATTTTCAAAGTTGGTGTAGATTCACTTTTTCTGTTTCATGTCAACATTTCCTGGTAAAAGTGCTTTAGCTTGAAAGGCACCTAGATCTGGTGTTTTCCACTTTGAATATGCAGGGTCCATGTTTTAAAAATTTCAATTGTCTAGATTTATGTAAGCATTATTCTGTTTTTGTATACTGTTTTAGTTATTAAAAAGTTCACATTAATTTGGATGTACTATTCATGAGATTTTTTTTTTCTGGGATCCTAAGAAATTATATTAGGGTTTATATGTTGTGTGTTTGTATGTGTATATTGGAGGTACTCATAATAATGATATAATTTATCTAAGCAAATAATATAATTCATTATAACTCTTTCCTGTCTTGCATAGCGCACTGCATAGCGTAGCATACTTCATAACATAGCCAGTTTGTAACTCAGGCTGTGACAGTTTGTAGTGCAGAAGGATGCATGAAAGGCACAAGAAGGTATGTGAATTTAGCCATAGCTAAATTTAGCTAAATTTAAATAGCTAAATTTAGCAAGCTTATCAACTATTTTGCAATAGTGTCACATTTAATTAAAAAATCAGTTATTGTTGCTTTAACTAGATTTAAGTAATATGTTATGCATAAATAGAAAATCTTGTTAACATTTACTTATGAGTACTTACTATTTCCACAAAAATTTGAAATATGGTTCTTTTGTGGACTCTTAAGTGTCAGAAGTGAGCAATCTCCTGCCGTTCTAGTCTTCAGATTGCTCCTGGCTAAACTGTAGCTGTTGCAATTTTTTTCTCAGTTTCTTTTATTCCTCTCCTCTCCTCTCCTCTCCTCTCCTCTCCTCTCCTCTCCTCTCCTCTCCTCTGCTTTTTTACTGTGTGGACTGCCCTGGCCTTAAATGACCAAGGAAGTTGCTCATTATCTCTGTCAGGATGGTTGGCATTGCCATTCTTGGGGCTCTTCCTTCTGGTCACTCCAAGGGCATCTTCAAAAGCCACGTGCAAGGCAACAGCAGAAATGCACACTGCTTTATTGGAAGGTGATGGTCATCCTCGGTCCCTTCAGGGAGCTTTCTTACTCTCCAGAAATTGATGGGATCATTTGCCACCTGCACTTTTATTGTTCAATCTAGCAAATAATTAGTGCAGAGCTTTCTCCCTCAAATCCAAGCACTTAATCAACTGAGAGGTGACTCCTTTCCTCTTCCCATGACAGCCGCTACCTTGGATAGGCCCAGGAGAGGGAAGTGCTATCCATCCCAGCCCTTCAGAATGTACCAAAGGTCGTCTTCATGGCCTATGGTGAAAGCACCATCCCTCCTTTCAGGGTCTTGTCTGTTGTCCTTAGACGTGCTCATGGTGCATGTTCTCAGCTTGGAGTTAAAACAGTAGCACCATTAGCTCAGGACCTAGTCCTCCAACTGTTTCACCAGTTGTAGGTACCCCAGTAACAGTGTCTGTGTTACCAGGCTTTCTGTGGGTAGCCAAGGATACATGGCAGAAGACCCAAGAGAAAGAGTGTGCTTTTTTCCCCCTGCTCCCCATGGCCTCTTCCAAATCATCATGGAGGCTTCAGAGTGAGAACCCTGCCAGAAACCACTCAAGAATAGTTGCCTACTTTCATTTGCGGTTCACATTCCTGAAGATACTTCAGATTCTGCTAAGGCATGTGCATTGCTTGTCAAATCCTTATTACTGCCTTCTTCTCTGCTGGACAATGCATTTCCGTGGTTTGCTCTGCCCTGTAGGATTTCACAGAAAGCAAGGCTGTAGGAACTGAATGCTAGCGATTATCATAGTTCACTAGGGTTCCATAAAATTAGGGCTAGTAATTTAGCTCCCCAAAAGGGAAAAAGAACCTAATTTGTTTTTCTTAATCATAACCCATTGCTTCACTGTAGATCGTACCAGAGCCTTTGAGTCTTTAGTGACATGCTTAGTCAAGATGCTGTTATTCCTAGCTGTCCTGTCAGTAACTATTACTTCAGTTTGCCTACTATTGGAGGTGCAGTTCAGGGATTGGGACAATAATTCATATGATCTGAGAATTTACTGTGTTCAAAACCAATAGGGGCTTTTACAGTTCTCCAGAACATTCTTGTCACTGACCTCTAGGTGACAATCCCTGACTATTTCAGACCTCTCAATTAATCATTTGTGTAGTCACAGAATGATGAGTGAAGAGGTGTACATTAGATTGGAATGTTTTGTGAATGGTGAATAAGCTGTGCATGTGTAAAACATTGGATGGACTTTGTCCATTACATCTCATTAAAATGATGTTTGGTAAAACAAGGGCATTGTCCTTTCTGCCCTCATATTTGAGTCCCATTATTCCTTTGCATAGAGGTAGTCCACTGTAAAGTTTAGCAGGCCCTGCAGATAGATGAGAATGTATTGCCATATTGAAGGGTGGGGAAGTACACGTTCTCCTGATGATTAGTTCCTATAATAGTGTTGGCAAAATAGACATGGGGCAGATTTGAATTGGGGGTTGGCCCCATGTCTGTATCATTGCACCTTGCATTTAGAGTAAATGGCTGACTGAAAGCTGTAAATGTATGCTGTAGATTTCTTGAAGTGCTACAAAAATCTGCTCCTTTTATTCCATAAGTTAGATTTTTTAAATCATAAAGAAAGGACCCGCTAATTAAGTACTCCCAATTTCCTGGCCAGAGGTGGAATGGCTAGTTGGCATACACAGATCAGCTTAAGCAGCCCAAACAAGGAGTAAGTAGCTATATTACAAAGCAGTATCCAGAGGGTGACTAGATCAAGCAAGAACCATAAAGCATATGTTTAAATTGATGTAATGCATCCAGAACAAGTGGGCATGCCTGTTTATGTCCTCATTTCATAGTGTTTTGAATTTAACTTGGGATGAGGCTAAATGTTAATGGGCACATTCCCTGAAAAATGTGGAATTGTAGTTTGTAAGAGGAACACACGCTGCTCATATCTGAACATATTTTATATTTCAAATAAGAAACATGGTTACGTATTTCACAGTCAGACTGAATCTATTAAATTAATAGAACTATAATATGAATCACATCGGTCTCTTCCTGAATATAGTACGTAAGGATTCATGTTAAATTCATGGAATGGCATCCAGAGAGATAAGGAGTCTCACTGTAGCATCACTTACCTTTAAATCTCTTGATTTCTGGATCTCCTGTAGAGTTTCTTGTATAATTTTTTACATGTGCAGCAAGATGTTGAGAGCAGGTGAGGCTTCAATTCTTTCTCCTTCCAATATATTTAGGGAGAAGAAATAACAAAAGAAGAGATTGACATGCTAAGCGATGCTTGTACTAAATTGAAGGAACAAAAGAAATTGCTAACAAAGGAGAAGGAGGAACTTGAGGTACTCAAGGATGATGTGCAGGAATACAGTGAGGTAAGACCAAAGGAAAAGTCGGCTAAAGGAACCAAGATCCATTTTGACTTTTACTGGAAAAGGAAAACGAGTGCTAACATGAATTGTACTACTGCCAAGCTCTGGTAGACAGAAACAGCGGTCATTCGCTGCCATAAGAGACACCGGTTCTTTGCTCAGTCATGTCAGTTATTTTCAGCTGCAGCTCTTATTTCCTTTTTGCTCAGAATACAGCCTTCTTTATGTGTTCTGTCAGTGCTTGAAGACTCACATTGTGGAGTGGACCACAGTCACTGGCTTTGCTTTGTCCATCACCTGTGTGTCTCCTTCAGTCCTGGACCTTGCCAAATTATTTAGAGCTGCCACTGGTTCTGTGATGAGTTTCAGGGGAAATGCCTAAGTTGGGTATAAGCAAGAGGGGCAACAGTATGAACGCCTTCCCACGTGGAGCCCTTACATGTTCAGAGGAACCTGGGAAGAAATAAGCCCCAGTGGCTTTTATAGAATTGGAGTGGATTGCCTGTAAGCCAGAAATGGCTCCCATAGCCTTTGGTGCAACTCTTCTCCCCCCACCCCCCCTTTAGTATCAAAGATTTATGATGTAAAAATGTTTCTTTTTGATCCTTAGGATTTGCAAGAGATCAAGGAATTATCTAAGACTGGACCAGAGGACATAGTTGAAGAATCCAAAGCAAGCAAGAGACTGACTAAAAGAGTGAATCGAATGATTGGGCAGATGGATAGAATTATTCAGGAGTTAGAGACAGACCAAAAAACAATAGATGGACAGTTGGGCGGTGATGTTAGTCCTCCTGTTGGGTAAGTGATTGGTAATATGACTAAGGGAGATTAGTTTTATCATTGCGATTCCCGTTTTTGTTGGAAGGGGCCAGCTTGTGAGGACCAAAAAGCAGGCTGCATCATGAAGGTGTTTTAGAGAAAGGCCTTGTTACTCTTGGTTCCTTCCTTACATTTTTTAAAAAATATCAGGTTGCAAATAACTATGATTTCCACCATAGTTATTTGCAACCTATATATGTGTTATATAGACTGTGCATGCATGAGTTCATCCTTGGTAGTAACTGCTTTACTACAGGCTTCATTTTCCATTTAGGGAGAATCTCATCAGCATCCACGATCTTATTAATGTAATGAAGCAGCTACAGAAAATACCAGAAAGCAAACTGAATAAGCTGGCTGAAGCACTGGATGAAAATAAAGATGGCAAAATCGACATAGATGATGTTGTGAAGGTGAGTCCACTGAAGAGCAAATCAGGCAATTATTTTACCTTTGTATTAAAAGTATTGCTTTTGAATTCCTGGAAGTGCGGCAGAAATGTCCATAAGTGAACTTAGGACCAAACCTAAATTTAATGCTGTGCTTTGATGTGTACTGAATTGTCTTCTGGCTGTTGTGTGTGCATAAAGTATCATGGAATACAGATTTCCTCAGCATGGATCCCTTCAGTTGGGTGGATCTCAGTTCCTAGAAAGACCTATCACTAGCCAGAGGGAGAGCCCTAAACAGGATTAAGATGTAGCACAAGACACTCCCCGCTGCCCCCCATGAAGGTAATTTCCCTGAACTGAACATCCAAAGGCAGAGAGATCAGTCTTCATGTTGGATTAATGGAGCAAGTGTGGGCCAATAAAATGATACAAAGGAAGGCTTTTTAAAGTCTACAGCTTTATCTACTTTTACTGATTGGAGAATCACGAATGTGTTTCTGTGATCAGAGACGAGTGAGCTAGAGATTCAGATAGATGTGTCTGAGGAGCAAAGTTAATGCTCCTATATATTTGTCAGAGGAATAGGAATAGGAATAGGAATAGGAATGGAATGGAATGGAATGGAATGGACGAAACATACAAGGAATTTGACTTTGGTGTAAGGAGCTCTCAGTGTGTTTGCATAGCACCAAGAATAAGAAGAATAATATAA